CTGGGTTAAAAGCAGAAAGAACACGCAACCAATAATAATATATTATAATTTATATTGAAATACTGTTTAAATGGTGTTCAAAACCGTGTGTGATGTGATATCATCAGAATATTATCTAACTATTTATTTAAGAAGCAAAATGTTGTTCTAAAATCTGATTGGCTCAGGTCGACAGTGGGTGGAGTCCACCTACACTACCTTTCAAGTTCTTGGTCATTATTTGAAATATGAGTAAATTCAAGTACAGTAAAAACACTGTTTTGTATTTTATATTCATTACTTCAGTCTTCAGTGTCACAAGATCCATTTATTTAAAATATAAAATGTCACTTTTAATCATTTTAATGTGTCTTTGCTAAAGAAAAGTAGTAATTTCTTAAAACGGTAGTACATATTTTATTTTATTTATTTATTTCCCTATACAATTTATTACATTTTAAACTGGTTTTCCTCAAGTGAATAGCTGTAGATTCTCACGTGGAATCATATCTCAAAGAGACAAACAAACATTTTTCAGAGATTTATTATGTTTATTTGTGGATCTAATTTTATTTATGTATCAGTTTTGCATTTGTGAATTTATGTGCATTTATTCATGAATATTTATACAATAACAACATCATATATCTGCCCCGAGGTGAGCTAATTTCTGTACTGTCAATTATTTTCTCATCCAATTTTTCCACCTTCGTATGCAATATGCAATGATAAATGTCTCAAACACTAGTATCCTGTTGTTATATGACCTCCGTATATGCAGCCAGTTTACATGTTATCCCATTCTGTTTAAGTGTCTGAACTTTTAACAGTCAGTCCCATCAAGTAGGTCAGAATGCATGTTAAAATCATCTGGTTCAATTGTCACACTGTTAAAGGTAGGTCAAGTCGAACACAATGGATTGCGAGATATTCCATAACGTTCGCTCTGGAAGCGTTTGCTCCAAACTGCATAATTTGACAAATGTAGCCAGTCATCAGAGCGTTTCATGCATATGCATGTAAACATTTGCACACTGTGCATACTATACACCTGTGCACTTTTAAAATAGTATGAGCAGTATGCCACAATAAGTAAAAATTTCTAAATCCGAGGGAACAGAGTGAGGGAGAGTAGACACTGTGACGTGCACTGTTTGCAAAAATATGATTATAAAATGTCCCTGACTTTGCAGGGCAATTAGAGTCCAATTTGAATGCAAATGTCTTCCTCCTGCCCTTATGAAGATAATGACGGCTTCAGCATGCACACGCAATTCTCTAAACAACTCTGCTGGCACTGTGAAGGGCACATGAACACCCGTTTGGCTGCGTGCATCACACAAACCTCAAGGTGCATGCATGCATGTGTGTGCTGTGCGCACCTGACAGGTCGGTTTTGTTCTTGTCTCACTAGTAGTCTTGTAAAGTCAGTGCTCGAGAACAGCGGTTCCCCAGCAGTAGCCCACTGCGCACAGCCAGCTCAAACTCATTTACATCCTCTGCTTATTAAGCTCCGTGTGCTAATGAAGAGAGCTCCAATTAACGCAGATATATTTCACGATGTTAATTAAGCGGACATGGTTCATATAGAAACCATGCATTTGCTTTCAGAAGGAAACCAAGGAAAAGGGTAGTTGGTAACTGTCAGACTCTGTTCCATGTTTTGTCTGTGTCTTGCTCCCCAGGTGTTCCTTTCCCATGTTTAATTTGTCCCAGGTGTTCCCCATGATGGTTCATGGATCCCAGGTGTGTCTCGTCATCCCCTCCTCCTGTGTGTATAAAAAGTGTTCCTAGTCCCAAGTTCTTTGTCCGCTGTGAACGTCTTCGTGTGAACGTCTTCCTGTGTTCGTCTCCCTGTGTTCGTCTCCCTTGGTTCCTTGGTGGTAATAAAGTTCTGTTAAATGTGTTCTCCAGCGTCTCCTCGTTCCTTGTGTGTGTGTGTGTGTGCGCGCGCATCGTGACAGTAACTGGTTAGACGAGTGTGGTAGCTTGGTTGAATTTTTGTTTTTGCTTTGATTTTTGCTTTTTAGTCTAGATCTAAAGGAGAAAAAACCAAACCAAAGTAAAAATGAATTAAGATTTGATTTATAATTTTAATAATAATAATAATATAAGATTTTTCTTATTTGATTATTGCCATTTTTACCATTGCACCATTGTAAGTTGGCATGGGAAAGTACTTTTTATTTAGTAGTTTAATTATTTATGTTTGTTTGTTTGAGCACCTGTTATTTTTCTAGCTATTCTCTCATATCAATATGACAGAGCGTTTATTTAAATGATCAGAAAGATATTTCAACATAATATATGTATATTATTTTACAACATTGTTCTTAATTTATATATTTTAGGTTTAAACTTTGCTTTAAACTTTCGTTTATTCATATTTAGGCTTAAAGGAAACACAAAAATGACATGTTCACCTACAGTAGCACCTCTGCTTAAGTGTATCAACCGTATGGTCTCTCTGACTCGCTCTCTGTCTCTCTTCTAATTGTTCGGCTTCTTGAATGCCACTTTCACTTTGCAGATTGCTTTAGTTGTAATTGCTGTCTTACCTTTAGGCTTGAGTCTTGCAGGATGATGAAAGACGTTGCGTTTTATGTCAGGTCTACTTCTCCTGTTGCTTTCAAAATCACTTACTACTACAACGTGCCCAGATAATTAGAGAGACAAGGAACTATTTGATTTATCCCTCCTGACAGACCTGTTGCAAGAGAGACTCAGACCATGTCATTTTTATTAAGTTTCTTGTCAAATGCTTATTCTAAAACTATCAGTCATCTTAAGAGAAAAGACACAAGCCAGGGCCAAATCTATATTTTGACAAATGCTTTTTACCTGTTTAGACCTGAATTATGTTACAGGGACACATTCTTTATTCATTCTCTAAATACAGCCATTAATTGTGATATTTTTAATTTAGTTATTTCCAAGGTCCATTACAAAAGCAACAACATCCAGATAAATTAAAAAAGTTAAGTTATAAATTATTTTAATATATAACACTGTCACGCATACTAAAATAGGTTTTTTATTTTATTATTTTTTTTTATAAAAACACGTCTTCCATCTATACGTGACCCTCTAACACTAGCACTCTCTATTCTATTTCTGTTCTACTCATTTTCCTTTTATTAAAAAAAACACTTGATCCTTTAACACTTGCACTCTTTACAATACTTGCTTTCTTTTTATTTAAAAATAGCGCCTCTAACACTAGTATTCTCTATTCGTTTTCTATTCAATGCACTTGTTTTCTTTTTATTTAAAAAAAAAATGACCATCTAACACTAACATTCTCAATTCTTTTCAATTCTTTCGACTTTTCTTTCTTTGTAAAAAAAGAAAATAAAAAAGAGACCCTCTAACACTAACATTCTCTATTCTTTTTCTATTCTATCTACTTGTTTTCTTTTTATTTATTATAAGAAAAAAAAACGTACTGTGTTAGGCAACCAAGACTTGCCACAGCACTTACATATTATTGTTTTTTTGTTGGTTTTGATTGCTTCTGTTGTCCTTATTTTGAAGTCGCTTTGGATAAAAGCGTCTGCTAAATGCATAAATGTAAATGTTTTATGAAACAAATATGCATATGAAACTACTATTTATTACAAACTATTATTGTATTGTTTTATATACCACATTTGTGTCAAATAAATATATATAAAAAAAAGATTTATCTTAATGTCACCTCCTCAGTTTAGAACAGGGGTGCCCAAACTCGGTCCTGGAGGGCCGGTGTCCTGCAGAGTTTAGCTCCAACTTGCCTCAACACACCTGCCTTCAAGTTTCTAGTATGCCTAGTAAGAGCTTGATTAGCTGGTTCAGGTGTGTTTAATTGGGGTTGGAGCTAA